AGGGTGTGCTTGACACTGACCTGCCTTTGGGGTCATTCCTTTGTCCCCACAATGGCCTTCAGAGCCTCTTACCAGCATGCCGCCATGCCCCTGTGTGGCCCATGGCATCCCCACCACTCTTCTTGCAGGGTGTGGTCTTGGCCCCATCGTGCACATGCTCGCCGCCTCTGGGTTTTGTGGGTGAAGCGGAGGGGAGAGGGAGGGCCAGACTTTGGAGACATAAGGGTGGAAAGCTGGAGAGCTTAATGGGGTCAAAGACCAGTGGCTGGAGTGCTGAAGAAGTGAGAGCATAGATGGTATGGTGGGGCTAAATAGGTTTTCAAAATAGGTCAGTTCTTTTTTCTTTTTTCTCTGGGTAAGTGCTTTACATGAATGGTCTCAGTGACTTCAGATGACAAAGCTAAGAGGAAAGTACTTCTCTCTATCCCAGTTTACAGATGGGAAAACTGAGCAGGAGAGTCTTGGTTGCAGGGCTGCCAGAGGGTGGAGGAGGCGAGCAGGCGTCTGCCTCCTACACGTGTTATTTCCCTTAAGTCCATGTCATTAGAAACGTTTGTAAAGGCTGTGGAACAATCATCAGATTTCATTTATCCTGGCTTCTGCTGTTTAATTAGGCTGCTTTTAGTTTTAAATTCTGTTTTGAGTTTTAAGATGCTGTGGTTGTGTGCCTCTCCCGGGGCAGGGTGAACGAGTGTCATCTCCTGGCGAGCCTTGGGCATTGTGTTCGGAAAGGACCGTGGATCGGGTCCTGGAATTTGCCGATCAACTTCTGGACACATACCCAGGGGCGACGCCGTGGACCATATTATTCAGAGGCAGGGGACCACATCCACAGACTCATTTTCATTAGATGTTTGCAGAATGGAAATTGGCCTGTTGTACTGCCCCGTGTAAAGCTAACTTGCTAACACACGGCAGGAAAGCACACCATTCCTGCCGTGTGTGTGCTCAGATCCACTGAGAAGAGACAATCACTTTAAATCCGTAACAACTGGGAAATGGAGATTTGTTTAGTAATTTCCATCAGCATCCTTTTAGAATTTATTACCATTTTGTCTAGATGTGGACGTATCACTTTTCACAGTGAATGGTCAGCCTTTCAGAACTGTTTGAAAAATTAGAGGGTCATTCGTGTGTGCCTAAAGTAGTAGTCAGGATTAAGAAGGGTATGTATAGGCAACATAAATTTTACATGAGAATTTGGCCACTCAAGATTTTTCTTCAAGTCTAGTTTCTTAGTATTTGAATTGAGTTTAGATGGCTTTTTCCTTAGGGGTTCTTAATGGGCACAGATGCATGTTTGAGAGCTCATGGCCCGTCCTCTCCAGAGTTAGGTGGCTTTGCGTCCAGTGCTGCAGACCAGTGGCCATTGGTGACCTGTCCTTATTATACTGTGTGGTGGCATAACAGGTACTTGTGCACTACACATCTTTGCTGATTTCCAGTAGCCCTGGGCTTCTAGGAGATCCCAGACTTTTGGGTAACTGGTTACACAGAAAGAGGATTCTTTCATGTGATACTCAGTGAGAAATTTCTGTAAAATTCATGATTCCAGTTTCACCTGGGGCACTTTCCCCTTGGATTTTTCAGCTCTTCCTATGATCCTGGAGCCCAGGTGGGTGTTTCCATGGGTATATTGAGGGAGTGGCTTAGGAGTATTTTCAGAGCCCAGACTTGTGCCTGGGCTTTTTGATTTGGGGAAATGCATCGTTTGTTTATTTTGATCAGTTATTAAAGATCCTGACCTTAATATTATTGAGTTAATATAATACATGCCTTGGTTTTCCTAAATCTTGTAGGTAAATAAATAAGACAAAGTATAAGGATGGCCCAGAATTTAGCTGACTGTAACTTAAAGAGACAGATGATCTGGTGGTGTCATGATGAGAAGGGTGTTGAAAAAGAAAAGAAAGCCACCAGAAGTCGGAAAATCAAGTATCATTTCCCTAAAGTTTTTATTTAACCCGAGGTACCCCCAAATGGGAAGTTGGGCTGTTTCTAAAAACGGTGTTGAAGGTTTTGAGGGAGTCAGAAAGTTGTGAGTAGAGAATCAGTATTCGAGTGCCTTCTGTTGGCAGGCACTGCAGGGAATGTGCCCGACACCTCGACTGGTGGGTGCTAGTTCCTCACTCTCAGTAGCATTTAATCTAGATAGATGGTGTTATTTATTACTGCTATCTCTTTGTCCCCTGAGCCCTTCCCTCAGAGCTGGAAGCCAAAGGTGTGTGGGTGTGAAGCTGCTTTAGGGGGGCCCTGGCCAGTGAGCACAGGAGTGGTGGTCATACCCCCCCTCTGTTGCCACTCCTTGGGGTGATCCCACTGCACTGTGGGAATGGGCATCTAGTTGGTTTTTTGAGTGCTGGGTCTGGGGCCTGAGGTGCGGGCTGCTGAGTGCAGGTGACACCTAACGCCGCTCCCACCCCCAGTGTTGTTGCTGTAGGGGAGTTGACTTCTTGGAGGGGAATGTTGGGGGCAGGTGGCATCCATGTGTCCCGACCCCCCCCCCCCAGCTTCAGAAAAGGCTGAGCCCCTGAGCATGCTGACTTGTGCCTGGTCCTTGACTGCAGGCTCAGCCTTCTTGCAGTGGAGGTGGATGGGTGGGGGAGGAGCTGGCAGGCCTTTCCAGTCTGAGGCCATGACCGTGCTTAGTGCAGCATAAACCTTTCTAGAAAGGTTGGCAAAATGACACTTTTCTGCTAAGGAGATCTACTTTCCTCAGAGAACACATTCTGGCAGCTGAATCTTGAGGTTCTTGTTTGAAATAGATCATCTTTGGCGTTGAGTTTCTTCTGGCCATGGGATGATACTGTATGGCAATGAATTTATGCAAGAATTGCCGAAGGGCGAGGCTGCCTGCACCGGGAGCCCTGCCTGCTTTCTGCTTTGTTTTCGCCCTGGTGTCCTATCTTAGCAGATGGCTCCCCTCTTGCCAAGGGCAGTTTTTGGCCAGGTTTACCTGCTGACCCAGAAGTTCTTCCTCTGAAAGACACAGGACACTAGAGCAGATGCAAGATAAGCAAGGACCACTCAGTGGACAGGTGGCAGACTCCTGGAAAGGTCTTTTGGGAAGATAGTAGAAGAAAGAGTGGAAACAGCTGTTTTCCAAGCCACCTGAGCCCAGGCAAAAGGAAAACAGGCAATTTATTAAAATACAGCATTCGCCTCCAGGGGATAGAACATCTACTCCGACCCCAGTGGACACTTCTCTCCTCCAGTGATCTGTATTGAATTCTATTATCCATTGTTGTGCAAGAAATCACTCCAGTACTTGGTGACCTGAAACAAGAATGATTTAATATTTCTCACAGTTCTTGGGGGTGACTGAGGGGTTTTCCTGCGCATCTGGCTGAAGCTCATTCATGTGGTTGTGGTCAGCTGGAGAGTGGCTGGGGCTGGGCTCAGCAGGGACGGCTAGGGCAGCTGGGCCTCTCCCTCTGGGTCTGGCATTCGGCCGGGGAGTTTAGCTAAGCGTGTCTTGGTTCTTCTCCATGTGGCCTCTCTAGCAGGCCTCTTCTTGTGCTGATGGAGGTGTTCCAAGAGGGCAGGGTGAAAGCTGCAGGGCCCCTTAAGGCTTAACGTTGGAAATGGTACCCCGTCATGGGAAATTGCAAGGCGAGCCCAGATTCAAGGTGTGGGGAAATAGGCTCTGCCTGTTGATGGGAGCAGTGGGCAAAGTCACATGGGTATGGAGACACGGGATTGGTTACTTACTAGAGCCATTGTCATGACAGTCTACCAGCTTGCCTTCCAGTCCTGCGGCTTCACACACGTGCAAGGCACACTCCTCCCTCCCGTCTCCCTCTGCCCTCCTGGCACAGCATCAGACGCAGAGTCTGAGTCCCCTGCCTGCCCTGGGGCGGATGGATGGCGACGGGCTGCCAGCTCCCTGGCTGTGGCTTCTCTCAATTCAGGGAGCATCATCTCAACAAACAGTGGCACACAGGGAGAGGGTGACTGCAACATGCGATATAAACTCCTATTCGAGGAGGGGGACACGAGGCACCCGGCTGTGGGTGGTCCATAGCAGTTCAGACGTCGAGCCGGGCACACGCTGTCAGGGCCTTTGTTGGGGCAGCACCAGGTTCTGGCATCAGTTTTTGTGTCAGTTGTCTGTTGAGTAACCAGCCAAAACCAGTGGCTAAGACAGCGGACTCTATTCCTTGCAATTCTGTGGATTGACTTCGTAGTTCTGCTGGGCTTTTCTGGGCTCTCTGCAGTCAGCTAGTGGCCTAGTGGAGGCTGGGTGGCCTGAGGCGACCTCAACTGGGCTCCGGGAAGTGGCTTGATGCGCCTCTCTAACCACACGGTCTTTCGTTCCTGGTCTTTCCTGCCTCGTGGTTCCACGGTTCTGAGAAGTGAGCTCCGTGGGCCCTCTCGGGGCCTCAGCTTAGCGGCCGGCAGCAGCCATCTGCCACATCGTAATGGTCGAAATAGAACAAGGCCAGCGCGCAGACTCGAGGCCCGGGCAGCCGACACTGCCTCTTGCTGGGAGGAGTGCCAGGGCCACACTCACAGGGGTGTGGACCCAAAGAGCCAGGATTCATCGGTGGTTATTTTTGTAACAATCTCCCACATGGTTCTCAACAACATTATAAGGGTTTGGATACATTCTTGTCAGGTCTTTTAAAATTAATTCTCAAAAAGGAAATGCCACTGTTTTCTTAGTATGGGTGAGGTAGTTAATGGGGGGTGGGGGTTGATCTGTTGACCTGATCCGTGCTTTGGTGCCTGGCCCCTGTCCCTATTCTCCTCAGCAGTGACTCTTCAGGTGTGGTCCTTGGACCAGTCTTGGGCCCACACCAGACTGACTAAATCAGAAACTTGGGGTGGGGCCGGGTAACCCGAGGTCTCTACCAAGCCTTCCAGGAGGTTTGAGCGCCGCTGCTCCTGGGAGCTAGTGGTAGTCAACTGTCTTCTGGAAATCAGGCTCTTCCTGCTTCTAGGGTCTCATGTCTCTGAGCTCAGATGGCCTTTGCAGAGTCTGACCTGGACTTTGCTTGTGCCGGGTGAGCCTGGGGCTTTCTTATCACTCAGGATGTTTAGTGACCATGCCACTCGTGTGCCCAGGCACACGTCCCTGGACTGCCTCAGCCTACAGTCTAGCAAAGGAGACAGTGCAGGACAGATGGAGATTATGGGAGGACAGTCCAGTTCAGCCAGAGAAGTGACGAATTCCGTGTGTATATGTTGAGCTTTGGGTGTCTGGGTAGAAAGAGGAGACACCTAGCAAGTAACCATCCTTGGAGTTCGAACTCAAAAGGCAGGGCTGGAGCTAGTTTGAAAGTAGTCACATATGCGATCCCTTAAAACTGTTTCCCTAAAGGTGATTCATCACCAGGATCAGTTGGGGTATCGTAAAATTGTGGATTATTTCCCCCACCCTACCTCATGTGACTGTGAGAGTGTCCCCTGTGATCTGGCCAGGTGTGGGACACAGGGCCCCAAAGCCTGAAACTGGCTGGCACCCCTGGGGCGAAGGACTAGGGACGGAACCGTGGGGGGATGCCCTGGAGTAAGGGCTGGCCAAGGTGTGGTCTGTGTGTGAAGATTCTCAGGAGCTAGGGGACTCTGGAAGAAGACAGTGGAGAGCGGGCTGCAGATGCCAAGGGACTGGAAAGTTAGGAGGAGGAGGCGTGGTTGGCGATGCACGCACGCACGTCACTGCGGCACTGGCGACCGGAGCCAGAGCGGAGCAGGGCTGCAGCCCTGGGGACGGGACTGGGCAGGTCCAGATGACTTTCAGGGAACTTGGGAGCAAGGAGAGAGTGTGAGAGACGGTCAGGCGGGCTGCTGCTGCTGCTGTTTGTTTTAAATGGGAGGAACCTGAGCCAGTCGCCAAGGGCAGAAAGCCAGCAGGAGGGGGGATGAAGAGGGAGCGGGAAGGGGGTTACTGATGAAGCCATATCCTGGAGGAGAGGATGGATTCCAAAGCCCCACTTTTGGGACTGGCCTTGAAGAAAAGGAGGGCCACCCCGTCTCGTCCTGGAGGGAAAGAGGTAAGGGGAAGGGCATGGAAACAGCCGAGGATGGAGTACATCGCATTATTCTTGAAAAAGGAAATCTTTTCTTCCCTGAAAGCCTTGACTCCTGGCAGTCGGTGCGGGAGAGCAGGGTGGAGACGCAGGTCAGGGCGTGTGCAGGTTGAGTCAGACACGAGGCTCCCACTCAGGATTCTTTGGCATTCTTTGGGGACATTCCCCAAAATGACTTTGAAGGGTGCTCCACTGGGGCACTTCACAAGTTTGAAAATGGTAAGAGGATATTGTAGGGCTACTCACCAGCTTTAAAAACAGTCCTCACTTAAGCAAATTATCCTGGGCTCTGACTGCTGGTCATTGACTATCTTGGTAAACCCCCGGTCTTGGACTGCATTTTTTAAAGCATGGAGGCTCGCTGACTGTGTCTTAAAAGACATTTGAAACAGTTCCATGACAGAAAGCAGTTCAGCAGCTGCTCAGAAAAAAAAAAGAAATTAAATGCATCTCTATTAATCACCCAGCCTGATATGTTTAGTGCAGTGCTTCAAGTGGAAATGAAGTTGAATAGTTAGTTTCATTTTTAAAAAGTAGTCGTTTGTTTAGCCTTTTATGAGCCAGGGGAGAATCGTGGCTATAAGTATAGACCTTGTAATCCCCGGGCGTGGTGACCCCAGGACACGTTATGTACATAACGTCCAGCACACAGACCTTATTTTGTTTGTTTTTACTAAGATGGTTGGGGGGGTCTTGTGAACTTCTTCCTTGTTCCATGTGCAGTCTTGAAAATGGGGCAGGGGCTCTGCCTCTGTGTGTGAAGGAAGTCACCTGTGACTGCTGGTTCCTGTGTCCCTGCCAGGTGCCACTTCCACGGTGGACACGCTGTAGCACAGCAAGGCCTCTGAATTAGACATGGGCCGACTGGCTTTCAGTAGTTCCCTTGGGAAGCAGTGGCTTGGGACTCACGTGTCTCACCTGGGAAGCAAGTGTCTCACCTGGGAAGCTGGCCGGCTCCTGATGCTCCCTGCCCTGTGGGCGCCGCTTCCTGCCGAGTCTCTTATTCTTCCTTCTCCTTGTCCTCTTTCTTTACCTTCCTTTCATTCTTCCTCCTCCTTGCCCCCTAGTGTTCCTTTTGCCTAGGATTTCAGCTTCTTTGAAGGATTGGTAGACCTTTGAGGGTTGGCCCGGCATCCTCTCCCTCATCTGTCCTGTTTCTGCGGGAGGATGTATGTAGTGTTGGTGGCTTTCAGAGTCCCCTCGAACTCGGTGGGGTTCCAGGCTAGTGCTTGTTGTGGGGCACTGCTGGCACTTTGCCGGGCAGTGACTTGTGGTGAGATGTGCAGCCCCCCCCCCCCCCAGCTTGGCTTGCTAAGTGTCATTGTTGTCCTTCATTTCTGTGATAAACAGCCCCTGGGGAGGACAGGTTACTGCCCCTGTTAGGAGTTCAGCTGTTCACACATGTCTGGACAGCATAGCTGTTGGGATGGGAGCTTGAGGTCCGACAGCTGCACTGCTTGGAGATGAATACTCTGTATTGTATGCATTTGCAACAATCAGGTGGGTCGTTAAGAGCTGTGTTAGAAACTATTTCAAGGGTACAGCATTTACATAAGAGAATACAAGTTGCTTTTTGTTTTCTGGGATCTGGTAAGATTGTTATTGTTTAGGTGAAGGCAATAGCTATTAATAAAGATACATAGTTAGGATATACTTTTTTTGTTATTATAGGATATAGCTAGTTAACCTATGTTTCAGTAAGGACCCGTCTGAATTTAGGAAATTTGGGGGATAGGCTGGGAAGAAGAGTAGAATTTTTGCTTAGACAAGAGTGGATTTTTCAATAAATCCACATAATCCTAACTTGTTCAAATAAGTGTTTAAACTTTTATCTACTCATTATCCAAAACCTGGAGCCTTTTCAGTTTTTCTAATCTAGCTGGGTAATTGTTCTTCTTAAACACTTGCTGCATTTAATAGTCTGATGCACACTTGTAGGTGACACCTAGGAATCTTATTTCCTAAACCTGAAGAACTGTGGTTACCATCAGTAACCACAGACATGGAAATCAGATCAGTCCCTGTGAAAGACTGTCGCCTGTAACGTTTTAAATCACAAAAGCAGTCATGGCATGCATCATGAGGTAGTAAAGTTTCCCTTCTTTTCCTTCTCTCCTGCAGAACCTAAAAGCAGATCCAGAAGAGCTTTTTACGAAACTAGAGAAAATTGGAAAGGGCTCTTTTGGTGAGGTGTTCAAAGGCATTGACAATCGGACTCAGAAAGTGGTTGCCATAAAAATCATTGATCTGGAAGAAGCCGAAGATGAGATAGAGGACATTCAACAAGAAATCACAGTGCTGAGTCAGTGCGACAGTCCATATGTAACCAAATATTATGGATCCTATCTGAAGGTAAGGCTTAAAATAACGAGATCTTCCATTATGCAGCTCCTGACTGAGAAGCGAGCAGTGGATGTGAAGGACTCTACTATAGCACAGCCGGTGTTCAGAGGAAGGAGAAATGTTTTGACCTTTGCGATCAAAAGAACCTCGCTTTGATGGTGTTATCTTAATGTCACCTATAGAAATAGAGTTTTGATGAAAGTGTTTGATGTTGAAATTCTCTTTCAAATAAGAAAATATTTTTGAGTGGGATTTTTCTCATCAAAAACTATTTCTTACTAAGTTATAACAATAACCATTAATCATCTAATTTTAGGATGGTTTATGATTAGTCTTAAAAACTCATGCCAACCCAAGAATATTAATCTTTTTGTATTTTCAGTCATCAACTATGGTTCAACTTAATGTTAAAAACTGCTGCTGAGGGGCCAGGCGCGGTGGCTCACGCCTGTAATCCTAGCACTCTGGGAGGCCGAGGCGGGTGGATTGCTCGAGGTCAGGAGTTCAAAACCAGCCTGAGCAAGAGCAAGACCCCGTCTCTACTATAAATAGAAAGAAATTAATTGGCCAACTAATGTATATAGAAAAATTTAGCCGGGCATGGTGGCACATGCCTGTAGTCCCAGCTACTCGGGAGGCTGAGGCAGGAGGATTGCTTGAGCCCAGGAGATTGAGGTTGCTATGAGCTAGGCTGACGCCACAGCACTCACTCTAGCCTGGGCAACAAAGCGAGACTCTGTCTCCAAAAAAAAAAAAAAACCTGCTGCTGAGAATTGATGATGTTAATTAGCTACTTTATACTTTTAAGAATCCTAAGTATTATAGATAATTGCTTAAAAGAGTAGTTATAATAATACAACACTACAAATTGTCCATGATTATCACCTGGTTCTTTAAGTGGGAAAGAATAGTATTAAAAATGATTTTATGATCTTGCATAGAGCCATTTTATCATTTTATTTATTTTTTATTTGTTTTTTTTTTTTTTGAGACAGAGTCTCACTTTGTTGCCCAGGCTAGAGTGAGTGCCGTGGCGTCAGCCTAGCTCACAGCAACCTCAAACTCCTGGGCTGAAGTGATCCTCCTGCCTCATCCTCCCGAGTAGCTGGGACTGCAGGCATGCGCCACCATGCCTGGCTGATTTTCTTCTATATATATTAGTTGGCCAATTAATTTCTTTCTATTTATAGTAGAGACGGGGTCTCACTCTTGCTCAAGCTGGTTTTGAACTCCTAACCTCGAGCAATCCGCTCGCCTCGGCCTCCCAGAGTGCTAGGATTACAGGTGTGAGCCACCGCGCCCGGACCATTTTACCATTTTATATCGTTGTAGGGTATTCTGTTACACCACTTAAAAATTCAAGATGACTACGTGTGTTTCATGTTCTTTGATATATGCCTGTTTCACTGAACTTACAAATGTCATGTCTTTTAAGATGGGGTTTTGGAAATCTTAAGATTTGGTGAAATAAACTCTGAAATAATTCTTGTGGGAACTAAAACTTTATAGAAAGAAATGATTTCCTGAGGGAGGCAGAGATAAATCTGATTAATTTGGTCTAGGCCTCCTTCCCTGCTGGGCCTATTTCCTAAGTTCTCCAAGTTGCAGCTGACTGCCTCTCTGATGTAAGAAGGGATAGTGTAGGTTTTGGTTTTGTGAAAGTGTGATGATGAGGTATAAGTCAGAGGATGGAAATTTGGAGAACTATTGATTTGCTAAAATGAATATTTAAAGGAAATCAAGATTGAGTGGTAATTCTTTTTTTATCCCTCCATTGTATAAAGGATGTCAATATGTCATAGGTCAAATGTAGCTTTTTTGAAATGGAAAGAGTGAGTTTTGGGGTTAGATGTCCTGGACTTGAATCTTGTTGTCATTTACTTTGGTGTGTGGTCTTGAGTGAGTTTTCTTTTCTTTCTTTCTTTTTAAAAATTCCATGCTTTCTCATTTGTAAAATGGAAAATCATGGTATATACCTGATTGTTGCAAAAATTAAATGGACTTAAGTATGTGAAAGTACCTAGCATGAGTAGCTGTTTAACACATTGACTGCCAGCCAGACTAGAAAAAAAATTTTTTCCTTGTGGCCACGATGTTTTATTACTGAAATAGAATAAAAACTTCAAAAACAAAATGATCCTTTCTAATTTAATAAATTTTTTTTTATTTTTTAATTGTTTTCTGTGCGTGAGTTATGTGCGCGACTTGAAAAATAGTTCTCGCAGCTCCCAACATGAAGAGACATGTGAGCTACATGTGCTTCATGAGTCCCTGGGCTTACAACTGGCCGTCAGTTAAAATACAACTCACATGGCAGTTAATGAGTGTTAATTTCCTTCCTTAATTGATAGAATTTATATGTACCATATCTCTTAAACTACTCTACAGTGAAGGTAATTTGCAGTGAAGATACCTGAGGAAGTCAAAGCAAGATCAGGAAAAAAAAAGGAGGAGGAAGAATGCCAACAACGGACATGAATGTTGCATTCAGTTTGTGTCTGGATGGGGCACAGGAGGGAAACACTGTACGTTTTATTATTCTCGTGATCCAGGAGGAGAACACATACAGCTTCCATAGGGGAGTGCCAAGGTCGTCTTGATGTTAGATCTCTATTAAGAACAAACACACAGCTAATGAAACTCAGTTTGGACTCTGTCCATTGTATCGCTTAATATCCTCTGAAATGACTTCAACAGAAGTGTTACAGTAAATTCAGAGTTCAGTTTCATGTTGTATTTTAACGTAAATTATGATACCTTTGGCAAAGAAAGTGTGGAAGAGCCTCACAAATGTTTGGTGATTTATACCAGGTAATATTTAACTATGGAAATGAAGGATCAGAGGTTCAAAGTATCTTCCTCAACCCTCAGCTCCTTAGCAAAAGTTTTACTGCATACCGGAGTAGATTGCTTTATTGTGGCCAAAGAAGGTGTTACTGTGACGGTACATAGCTAGAAATTCCCTCCACTATGTCCTATTCTTACCTGAGTTGCTCATTTTAGAAAATTAGGTTCCAGATCAGCCTAACCTTGATTTAGGGTTGCCCAGTGTATTTTGTTTAATTAATATGATGTTAGTTGCTGTCATAACCCACTTAAATGCATGACTCAAACACAATAGAAGTTCTCTCTTGCTGATTGGTTGCCCTGATCCATGGGCTGTTTTCCTCCAAACACTTGATTCGAGAACCCTAATTCCTTCTTGTCTTGTTTTCTTCCATCTTCGACACACAGCTGTGCTCAGCTTCCATAAGTCAGTGTGGGGGGAATAGGGAGGCTCACATGTGGGAAGTTTTTTATGTGCCCAGGCTTGGACATAGAAGAACACTTTATTTCTGTTCACATTCTCCTGGCCAGGAGTCAGTCATCACCACACCTAACTTGGGGGAGGCTGGGAAATGTCATTGAATTGTATGCTTAAGGGAAAGAGGAAATGGGCTTGTGCATAACTGGCTGAGCTTTTCCAAAGCCACTTAATCTATAAAGGAAGTGGAATAACTCATGGAGTGGCTTTCTCCACTGACTGTCTTCAGGTAGGATGAAGTTTTGATAATTTTATCTAAAGTGCTTTTATATATTTTATTATGTAAATTTTCCTTTAAGAAATACCACTCACCACAAGAATGTCAGCAATAATGTCAGCATGGTGAAAAGTTTCCCTTGATTTTTTTAAACCACGTGAAAAGAGAATTGTTCCTCTTCCTGTTCTTGTTAAACAGTAATTAATTATTATAATTGGGCAGGATGAGAATCCAGATCTGTAAACCTGCCCATTCTTGGGTAATTCCTTGGCCTAGAAGAGGACCCTCCTTGATAAATCAGGTTGTTCTGCCATCATCTTGTCAGGCTTATGCCATTTACATTAGTATAGTCCTAACTGTCAAGTAAGGTACAGATTAAATTGATTTGCAAGACAAATGGGTCTTTGACACATTGGAAATAGTTGTGCTTTATGTTGCCATTTTATAACACTCCATAGCATTCAGAGCTAGTAGTTAGTTCTTTAAGAGGCAATTTTATAGAAGGCCTTAGAATTTCATCTTGTGTTAAGGGACTTTTACATAACAAGATTGGACAAAGAAATCAGCAGAAAGTGGTTTCTTCTTTGCTTCACTCTTCATTGGTAATTATGTTTTGGTTTCATTCATCTAGTCTAGAAAGAGATTAAAAACAAGTGGCTAAATATATTGACTTAGGATCAGGAGAGTGGTGTTAATTTTGACTGTAGCATCGATCAAGTCAAAAAATTGCTTTGTAGCATATTTTTTTTCCTCAAAGATTAAAAACGAAAACAAGAACAACAATTTAGAGGGGAGAAGGAAGAATCCAGTAGTGAGAATATCTGTTTATATTATTGAATGTGAGGCCTGGAATGATGTTGAAGATTATCTCATACCATAAAAAACTTCATACATTGTAGTTGAATTTTGGGGAAATTAAACCAGCTAGAATATTTAATTAGTCATAAGCCTCCATGTCCCAACCGTTATACAACTGGAGGTTTCCACCATAGAAATACCACCCACAAAGTCAAAGTGAAGCTGGGGGTGTGGGTGTGGGGTGTTGTGCAGGAGGGTGGGGAGGGGAGAGAGGAGAGAATGAGAGTTTTTTTGTTTTTTAGTGAAGCAGTGAAGACATAGATCCTAACAGAGGACAGGGTGATGTAGTTCAGGATTCTGAGCCTGTTTTCTGCTCACGTAGCATTCACAAGTGCTACCCATTCTCTTCAGTAACAGAAATCTCGTGGTTTTTTTTTGTTGTTGTTTTAGGGAATTTGCCATCCTGTCAGAATCTCTGTATCAAGATTTACTTATAGCCAGAATTTGTCTCAGATCCTAGTACTGGGACTCACCTGTCTGGGTGCTCTATGGGCTTCTGACTTCCTGAGGATAAAATGCAGATAAATATATTTTTCTTACAAGATTACTACAAAGATTTTGATCATGTATGTAAAGTGCCTGGTGTGTCGTAGGTTTTTAGTAAATGATAACTTAATTTTTTTTTAGGAA